GTGATCTTGTTCTTTTTCTGCGCTGAAACCCGCCGTCCTTCTTTACAGACCACGTGACCTACAATATCCAGAGCTGGGACACAGCAGGCAAACTTTTTCCCGGAGATAGTGAGTCCAGCTTCTTCAATCCTGAATAATACTCGTTCCAGTGTCTGAGCATATTCCCAGATGAACCGCCGAATTCCTGGGTTTTCGTCCAAGCTTTCGTTATCGTAATCTGAGCTTGGTCCTTTGATTCCTCCATCGTCAATGAATACCCCTACGTTGTCAGGTATTTCATCCTGGAGTATCCACATCATTTGCGCCTGATATACTGCTACCGAATTAGTGGCCCCCTGAGGTAAACGTGTGAGTTGAAACCTTCCGAGAGGGGTATCAAAGGTGGTCAGCGGTCGGGATTCTTTTGCTAACTCTCGTTCGTCGTATCCTCCCATGATATCGCCTAATCCGTAGCAAGCACGTCCTGCAAAGGCTTCTACAAATTCTTCAGTTGCTGGAGGAAGGCCTGCGTCTTTAATGGTAACTTTATTCATTTCTTGTAAGTCATGAACAATTCGTAGCTTTCCATCGTGTTTTGCTACGCAGAATACTGGGCTTGAGTAACTTGATGTTGATTGTTCGTAAAGTCCTGTCCGAATCCGTTCTCGCACTAGCTCCACGTACTCGTTTTTTATTGCTGCTGGTATAGGAATAGGTTTCTTCTGCCAAGGTATGTGTTCCACTACTGGTATGACATAGGGTAATCCATAGGAATGCTTCAGTAATCCACGCTCTTCCATGCAGATCGTCTTCTTGATCAATGTCCATTGCGTCCCTTTCTGGTTCTTGAATCCGAACGCTGCGTCTTCCTCGTTGGGCCTCAGATCGAGTAATTGCGTGATTGGCTAGAAAATTATCTGCTCCTAGTTGCGGTGGATCCCAATCAATAGTTTGAGCTGAGGTTTTCATAGTAGTAGGTACGTGAGCTTTGCCTGTTCTACGAGATTCTGCTAGTTTTCTTGCCGCCTCTTGCATTTTGGGATCTGCGGATGCTGTCGCCACTACGGTCCTGATGGGTCTTGATGGGTTCCAAGGTATATGTTGACCATCTGGTAGATACCAGTCTCTTCCAGTGCGCTTGACTAATCCCAGTTCTTCATCTTGTGCTAGTTCGGGGCATCGGTAGGTCGCATGTCCCTCTCTCTTGCAATAGTAGCAAGATTGAGTCTCATATAGAGGTGTTGAAGGTTTAGCGTTTCCCCGCGAGAATTCTGATTTTTCATTGGATCCAGATTGATTGTATGAAACCGGTATTATGCTTTTCAATTGGGATTTGAGTGAAGCAATTTCTCGAGCTATCTCGTCTACCTGTTTATCCATGGCTTGGCCCGTAGGTGCTTCTGCAATCATTTGATCTCTTCGTTGACTGTTCCCTTTCTGAGCGTTCAGCTTATTCTGCATTAATTGATTAGATTCGCCAAACCCTGCAATGTTGAAATAACCAGGTTCCACGATTCGTACTTCCAGACTCGCCGCTTCAACCAAGTCTGCCCAGCGTGGCGGTAAGTTGCTTCCATCCGGTCCTTTTGGAAGTAATTCGTAACTGATTAAAGTGCGCTTGATATTCATTTGACTTTCCCGAGAAAATGCACTCAAGAAGAGTATCGATGCATCCGACTTCTGGTGAATTTGCTTGTTGGTCACTAAGTATTTAAGGATAGTGGTGAATTTTCCTAAGTAAGATTTGAATTCCCGATGATCCTTGATTCCGCCATTTATGCCGTATTCTTTGGTGATATCCACTAGGTCATTGGTTGTGTACAAGATCGTATTATCCAACTCTCCCCAGGTTTCAACCATTTCCTTTCGTAATTTGTTCCATTCACAGGTCTCGAACCCATCCATGGCTTCCAGTTGGATCTTGAGCTCCTCGGTTTTCATGAATCGTCCAATTTGCAATGCTTTATCGTAGTCCGTGGCATGGAATGCTCTTGCCGCTCTTTCATATCGCATCAGGAATTTTCCGAAGTTTTCGCCATCGTAAAAAAGTCCTGGTTCTTTGATAATCTTTGGAGCGACTTGAGGGATTGGTTGTTGATTTTCCGGTTGTGGCTGTTGTTGTTGTTGCTGTTGTCGATGATACACTGGCTCATCCGCATTCTGGGTGTTGTGAAGCCCATATCCAGACAGCGGAGGTAAGTTATGTTTTTGAGGCGTCGGGTCGTCTGCATCTGAGTCTTCTTCTGCTTGATCCCGCAGTTCGCTCGCTTTACCCTTTCCTTTATCCTTTGGTGGTGGTAAGATAGTTTCCGAATTCCAACTAAAAGATGATCCTGAAGGTCGGTCTTGAAATCGGTTCCTAAAAGGGGTTGATGGTCCAAATCCGTCTTCCAAATGTGGTGTACTGAATGGTAAACTCATGTTGATTTTGATTGATTTCCTAGGTTTACTTCCTCGACGTTCCTTCGATACCTAAACAAACGGCTGCTCTGAAAAAGAAACAAATAAAACTTTGGTCGCTGGTTTCTCTACCAGGGCAAGCTTATGGCTTTCTTTTAAATAATAGATCAGTTAAATACTGGGAATTTCTTCTTTTACAGAACCTACTTATCCAAATCCTTTGGGTACCTTTGCCCTTCTTTTGGTCTATAAGCAGCTGCTTTTTTCGAATATTTCCTGAGTTGTCGTCGAACAGTATCCTAGTTATCCAGATCCTTCGATAATCTTCCTTCTTCTGGTTAATAACTGGCTGTCTTCTTCGAGTCCTCGTTTCAGTCGATTCCTACACTTTCTTTTCAGAGGTTGGTCGGTGGGGTCGTTGAATTGTTTGTTGAAGTTTGACTAGTTGATCAACAGAATAACTGAATATGCCGCTGAGTAGTCGCAACTATGGTTGATAAATTTGATCCGGTTCCCGCTGAAGTTGTGATCCTTCGACGATTCCTTCTCGTTAGTTGTTGAAATTCGATTACTTGATGTAGATCACACAAGTTTATCCTATCACGTTGGGGACTCCCTTGTAAGACTCAAAAAGTGGTTGTAAGACCCTTTTTGCTGAATTGAGAAGGGGATGATGGAGTGAAAGCTCTGCCCTTCTATACTATCAGATAACAAGACCCACCAAGCTTAGCTTGGCAAGTTTTAATCAAGTGATAGGGTAAAGTTCAGGAATGAGTTGTGTGATGAAGAGTGTTGATTTGGTGTTTGGTTGGCGCTTTAAAGTGTTTGTGTGAAGGTGGTCAAATATTGCTTGAGTGTTACTTGACTGAGGATTAAACAACTGGGAGGAGAGCCTCCTTATATATACAACAGTGAGGGAATTTAGCTCCAGGGCAGCCAGTAATGAGTGATTTTGGCTGGCCTGGGCTATTACATGAGGTATTTTTAGCTACATACAAAATTTGAATGAGTGAATGTGATTGGTCAGACATGTACAAGAGTTGAAGTGGTGATCCAAGCAGCTGAACGAGTGATTCTGATTGGTCAGGTTCTGATGTGTTTACAAGTGAGTGTGGTGGTGTAAGCTGCAGCTGTCATGCATGGAAAATACACTAATTTAGGCTGCAGGTATGATGTAATATGTAGAAGTGAAATGTAAAGAGTGTAGATGTATGTAAATGAGTGTGTATGTAAATGAGTGTGTACTGTACTGATGGTGTCTGTGTAGCTTGAGGGTTGTAATTGGGTTTGGTGATATTTACTGATGGGTGAAATCCTTGTGATATGTTGTCCAGTGTTGGGTAAGAGTTGATCCAGGTGTGTTCCAGTGACGCCTCCTTGGTGACCAAGGGTGAATTTATCCGTAGAGTCCAGTTCTTGAGCCGTATGGTGTGAATTCTGAGAGTGATTGGGTGGTAATATGAAGAAATATATATATAAGAAAAGAAAAAAAGAAAAAACTTTGAATTTTCACATTTTTGACTACCACACCGTGTCTAAAAGCGGAAACCACGTGTGCTGCGGCGCATCAAAACCGCGTCAAAACGCGGAAAAACCGCGTTTTTTTATTAAGGCCCTTTTTTTTACTCCATATCCAGTACTGGATATGAGGTAGTGTTGAAAGTGGATTCTTATTTCCTGAGGAACATTTACAAAAAAAAAAAGAAAAAAAATCTAAAATTGATACTAATCCAGTGATTTTCATGAGGAACATTTCACAAAAGTTTCTGAAATAGATACGTGTTACATGAGGCGGCTTGGTAGGGGCTTTCCTGGGTCCTGGTGCCTCCTTGCAGACCAGTGTTTTTTTGCTGCTGAGTATGGGCCTGGCAGGAGCAGGACATGAGATCCTCGTCACTTTGCTTTGGAATCTTGTCTTCACCCTCAATTTATATGTATCTTGAAAAGGAGAAACAAAAATCAATAAGAAAGTGGATAGTTAAATAGTCCCACATCATCACACCCTTTTTTTGGGGGGCAAAGAACTGCAAAGGGACATCGTCAAATTTTAAGATCAGTAGTCAGTCTCACATCGGACTAGAACCTCCTCCTGGAACGCATCCATTATAAAATTGATTCGAGTGAAGCGTCAAATGTGAGAAGGCTTGTCCGGCTCTTCAAGAGAAGTATTTGTTTTTTCTTGTCATGGAAGTAGTGAGAAGTAGTGTCAATGAAACTGTAGTCTGCCAGTCTTCGACAACCTCAGGAGCGCCCGGATGGACAGCAGCTTGTGCACAGCGGTATATGTATCATCCGTTCTGTGTTCTTGAATATAATTATAAGGCCGGCCGGCATGGAATCAATGAGCAAGCAGGGTGGTGCCAATGGGAGATGAATGATTAAGTTGTCCTGCTGTGTCATGAGTTTTAATGGACGCCAAATGAAGTGGGCCGTACACACTACACAGCTTTTTGGAATCGATGGCTCTTGCTGGTCTGCACTGAATATAAAAATAATTTCGGCTCAGTTATGACTAGCAGGGTTATTTACCATTGTGTCTGGTCAATATCGTATCCTCTTCAGAGGCATGTTGGCATACCAACTTTAAACTTTAACGATATATCCCAGTCGTCACGGACACAAAATACAAAGTACAACTTGCCCGGGAGTGCCAAGGGTGTGTGTGTGTCCTTCCTCCCGGCGGCCGATTAATGAACAGCCAATCTCTTGTTACTGAAGGCGAACCAAATGAACGCTCCAGCTGGGTTATGGAGCTCTATTAAACATAGTTGCTATTCCAAGTTCGAATCCAGAAATATTTAATAACACTATCTTCCTCAGACCAAGAGTCTCTTCAATTCCTTGAACCTCTCTCTTTTTTTTTATTCAATATCGAATCGTTAAACAACGCGGGCGTCCTTTGTCCATCTGCGTTGTTTTCTGCTCTTTGTGGATCAGAGTTGATTGATTCAACTCAGAAAACAAGGAGGACGCATTTCTAGGGAATTATTTCTAACTGAGGACGCCGTTGTAGGTGAACCGCCGACGTGATATACTTGTGAAGGCGCCGCTCAAGATGATCCGAATATCATTCCTCTGGACACTTTTTCTACTAGCATTTCTTTCAAAGACTTCCCAGTCTCGTGCCTTCCTGAATCGACGACAGAGAGGCGCTGGCGGAGCAAGTCCTACTTTCAAGATCAATTCGGAGCAGGCCGTGGCCCAAGCTCAGCTTGCACAGACTAAAGGAGTTGTAGCTGGTCAAGCAAGCAATGAGAAGATCGTCCCGATGACTGCTGAGATTGGAGGATTCGCAATCCAATTGTACGTTGTCATAGTCTCAATCTTTCCTATTCTTGTGCTTGGTAGCCTCACCCGCCCATGTTTTCGATCTCCTCATGATCATAAAGCAAGCCATTGACAACAGTATTGCTTTCGTTTTCTGATTCTTTCACAACAGCAAAGTTTCTGGTGATCCTTCTGATCTCCAACCAGCGGCCAAAAACGGAGCGGTCATCCGGGCCACCGAGACAACAGCCGGCGATGCCGCGGCAGGAAAAGGAATCAAGTCAGTGCCCTCTCTCCGATTTCTACTAGAGTGCTATTTTTTTGGGCCAATTGGATCATCCCATCTGACTCTACTTTCTCGCTCTCCGCTGTTGTACATAGTCTTCTGCTTCATGGAGACGGAGGTCAATCCTTTTTCGACTTCCCAAACAAGGGCGATCAAGTCGGATTACTGGGGGTCGTCGCTCTGGCTCCCAATGATAAAATGTTTTGGGGCGGGGTGAGACATATTTTTTTCCCTCTGTTGAAATCGGTTTGGGTTATATTAAACCTCTTATTACATCTTGGGCACTAGGGTGGTGGAAACCAGCGCACCGATGGAGTATTACATTCAAAATTGCTAGATGCGTTAATCACAAATGTAAGTCCTGGAGATTTCTAATTTTTTTACATTTTTCTTCAAAAAAAAAATCTTACGGCTGGAGGCCCAACCTAACTGATTCAAACAACAAATCCGGAAACTTCTACTCTTGATCTGACTCAGGTACTCCCTCAGGTAATCAAAATGGATTCATCCAAAGTATTTTTCATGGGAATTAGTGGAGGAAGTTTTCTTTTGGCAGGATTTTTCTTACCAGGTGATTAATTCTCACTCACCTCCTTCCCCTGGGAGTTGATGTTGATTACACACATCAGAGGTTCTGATCGTGCATTTCTCTTTTTACTTGAACCCCAAACTCAAACCTGGTTAGCTTTTGCGGAAAAATACCAAAGTGGAGCGATCCTTGGATGTGGAGCTCTTCCACCACAAGTGCAACCATCAGCAAATTTCGGAAAAACACTAGAAACGATGCGGATACATTTCCAAACTTCTGCTCAAGAACAGGATGGCATTCAAGTCACGATTCCTCAAGCAATCGTATCTTATCTCAAAGCCGCTACAGATGCCCAAGTTGACAAGAAGGCGCTAGCGAAGAAACTTACTGCTGATGCAACTCCCAAAGGAACCCATTGCGTTTTCGATGGAAAACAGTTTGTTAGCGGAATCCAACTGTTGACTGATAATTAGTTGAGTGGGAATCCAACCTGCTTTGTCTGATAAGTCCTCCGACTTTCATTGAGCAAAAAAAAATCTAATGGTTGCTTTCGATTGATCCGAACAGTTCTAGAGTAATTTTTGGAGATGGGGATATAAAAGGCATCGGAAAGGTTTCTACAAGTGCAGCGGACAACAACCAGAAATTTGCGAGTGGTGTTCCGGTAGCCAAACTGAGGAATAATGCAGCTGGGGGTGTTCCACAAGGCTCTCAGCTGAGAACTGCAGCAAAGGGTTTTCCACAAGGGACTCAACTGAGAAGTGCAGCAGGTGTTTTTCCGCAAGGGACTCAACTGAGAAGTGCAGCAGGTGTTTTTCCACAATCACCTCAACTGAGAAATGCAGCTGTTTTCAAATGATTGAAGATGATGGAAGAGATTCTCATTGTACTAAAACCCACCAAAACCCAAAATGAAAAAAAAAAACTGGGAGTGTTGATGATTGTTTGTTCAGAAAAAACCATGAGAATGCAAACAAATTCATCTTGTTTTGAGTCCTGCCCCCAAGCTGTAATCATGCAAATCAACAAGAACCTTCTTGGCTTCCCAATGAGTCATTGGCTGTCAAGAATTTTGGGTATCTCAGAGCAAGCTGAACATCAGCATGGGAGACATCATATCCATTTCAAAAATACTTTGAACAGGTGAGATAACACTCTATCACAAGCTCCAACACTATATTTGTCTCTCCAAAATTTAATATCAAGGATGTTGGACAACTTGGCTACTGCCAAAGTAACTGTTGAGGCTGTTGTATCACACACATATATGCATGTGAATCAAACTCCAGAGGGAAGGAAATTTGGCTACCAATGTATGTAATAGCTCCTCCAGAAAGGTTTTTATACCATACTCCAATATTAACCTTCCAAAATCTTTTAATAATTTGAACTAACATCATTTTGAACCGTTACCAAAAACTTCCAATTTATGCCTGTTGCTTAGAATCACAGTTGAGCTTATCACTTGGACACTGGAACACAATGGTGTAGACAACCAAGCCAAGACTGTCCAAGTCTTGATGGGCAGGAGGAATTCCACCTGTGTTGAGATTCCTGTGACATGCCACTATTCATCTCATGTTCATGTTTGTTCCCGTGCTTCTTCAGATTTCATTTCCTTCATGTCACACTCTGTGACCCTCATTTGTTTTCATTTCAGTTCTTATACTGGAGACATCTGTGCTTAGGAGGATCTCCTCTTTCCTCATCCTTTCCAACACATGTCTCCAGGTATGTCTCTTTTTCTTTTTCTCTAATCTCTCTCTTTGCTTATGTTGAAATGAACAACTCATCCTTTCCAACACATGTCTCCAGGGTGTTCATATCAACAACCTGTGGCCAAGATGAATCCCCAAGTAGGCCATGGAGCAATCCCACCACCCCATAAAGGGGAGGGGGGGAACACAACACACCTTGTTGTTGGGCATGCAGCCCAATCATCCCCTCTTGTAGGGGCAGGTGAGACTACACACCCCTTTGTGTACCAAAATCAGCACATTGAGGGGTGTGAAAAAGGCTTCACCTCTCCAAGAAGGGTGGGGTTTACTCCACACCCCTTGTGGAGGAGCAGGATGTTTTAATCAATCATAGAGTAACAACTTTGGGATGATTTTGTAATCAACACATGTTGTTCACTTTTTTCAGCGGCCACTTGCTTTTTTTCCCTTTCAACTGACATGGCATTTTCTTCTGCATGCAGGCCTCACTGATCACACTCAAGCAGAAGCTCAAGAATGGGGTTTTTCTGGATGGCACATATTATAACTCAAAGAAATTGAACCAGTCCTTTTTTACAGAGTAGTTGTGAGCAGAACATTTGAAAAGTACTCAAAAAAAAATTCATAGAGATTTGGATGTCAACTCCCAAATGTTGAAATAATGCATGAACCACTCATTATACTCCAGGTACTGCTAACAAATCAAGCTCAACAACTCACTTTTGTCATTAATCCAAACCTAATCTGATCAAGACCACTGGATCAGTTTCAATCCCCCATCAGGTGTTGCCAAATGAATTCTCCTTGAAAATCTCACACAATCACCACTATCATCCTTCAACCTCATCTCCTCAAACTTCCTTCCCTTTCCAAAAAAAAAAACTGCCTTATTACTTTACTATCTCTCTTCTGTTATCTTCTCTTATTTCTCTCCTGTCTTCTGCTATCTTTTGTCTCTCTTCTACACATCTTGTTCTCTTAAAATCTAAAAATTTCTTCTTAATCTGATGAGAACATACTTTGTTTTTCCATTATTATTTCCCTATAATGATTATCTCTCACATCAAAATCTAGCTCTGCATCTGATTCTATTGCCATAGTCTTTATACTCAGTTGCCTCTATTACATTCAATAATTGAGTATGCTCTTTTGCCTCTTGTTTTGTTCTTGTACTATTGTTATTTCGATTTAATTTGTTTTCTGATCTTTTCTTTCTTTTGGTTATGGTGTTACTCTTCTTATATAGAAATAAATCTATTGATTTGTTACCAAACTACCAAACTTGCAGGTGGAGTTGGATAGACAACATTCAAATATTGTTGACAGGTGGTCATTGGGAGTCATGTTTTCAACCCCCTATTAATTAATATGCATGAGCAAAAACCTGAGAGAACCATACACATTGTTGACTCATTGTAATTACTACATCAAAATATTATCATTTGATTGTATCTTATTTAACATGGCCAGCAGGCTCATTCATCCATTACTTAGACCATCTCCACCGCAAAGAGTTTTTTGAGATGTTAAATTTACAAACTCTGCAACTGCGGCGCGCCTATAGCAACCCGGTGAAACCTGATTTTCTACCATAGGGTGATCAAGTAGGTGTGTTGGGTGTGAAAGGCCACCAAATAGGGGAGGAGGATCTGGATATCACCAAGATTGCCCTGTGAAACCATTGGGTTGGGTAGGTATGTCATGGGTTGTTATAGCAATGCTCTACAACCCAAGAGGGGGAAAACTATATTTACCTCCCCTTTAGCACCCCGGTGGTAGGGGTATTTTGAGCTTGGGAAGGTAAATTTTGTCTACTCACACATTCTACCTCCCCAGGTGGAGATGGTCTTACTTTAATGTGTGCCAGCCCCTTGACATAAAAAACTGCATCCATGATTCCATGCCTGCTGAATTTGTGTGGAGAGGTTGCACTATCTCTGTCAAGGGGCTGTAAAATATTACCCTTTTTTGTACAATGTATTTATGTAACTGTTTTTCTTTTTTGCTGTTATTCACTCACTTTTAATGCATTTTGTTCCTTTTTTGCAATCAAGTAGTGGATCAGTCTACCTACAGTTGATCAGGGAGCCAGTTCTTCCTGAAAGCTAGACATGATTTGAATGGTAATTCAGAGAGAAGCACATGAAGATTCTGGAGCCATTCTATTGCTATGATGTCTCTCTCAAGAAAATACTCTGGTTAGCTATATAGCACAGCTTCATTTTCCAAGATTGTACAGTCTGTAGTAAGATCATCTGCAACATAAACCTGAACTGCGTGTTGAAACACAGAAATCATATTGAAAATGGTAGGTTATCCAGACATATTTTTTTGGGGGTTTTTTCTATAAGAAAGAGATACATGAAAACTCAATCAGAAAGCTAATTAAGTCCCAATTTGTTCTAAATTCCCCAAGGTTTACGAACCCACGGAAATTCTGGCAAGTTTGCTGGATATAATACCCTTTGTCACCCAATTTATACACATTGTTAGTACTGCTCATATCTCTTGGAAAGCGCTTCCATGGCACGACGGGCTGGTTCACTTTGAGCAGTTAAAACCGATTCCATCGGTGGTGGTATGAGGTCCCTAGAGAATTTTGAAAGCAGTTGGTAATGAAGAAAATTTCTTTCGATCATTTCTTCGACGACAGTATTACTGAGCTCCGCCGTTAGTCCGGCAAAGGAAATGTAGCCATTTGAATTGAGGAGAAGCTGGCAGACCCTCAGAGCTTCTTTTTCTTGTACGTTTTGGCTTTTCCACGAAAATCGTCTTCCAAGGTGGCGCAGGAAGTTAGCGTGGGTTCGAAGTCCATAGCTAGAGTGAAAGGGCAACTAATAAGCTTCTTGTTTCTGTCAAATTTGGAAATAATGTGTCGTTCACACTTACGATCTTCAAAATAGCCAGACATATGTACTTGTTCGACGTATTGCTTGATAAAAAACATTCTTCCCCCGGTTATCCTAAAAGGAACGTCGAAATTGACGGATTTCAAACGATTTTTGTTTTGACTTGAGAGATATGGATGGGTTTCGACAAGGTGAAGGAGATATTTGTACGCCTCCTCGCGGGGCAGGTCACCCACGACTAGCGTATTAAAATGAGTAGGATTGATACCTATAGAAGTCATGGGAAGGGCCGTGTTTGTTGGCGACATTGACAATCTTGCAGAATGATCATAGGAACTTAAGCTTACGTTTTTTGAGCCAGTTCTCAAAGAACGAGTCGGACGAGGTAAAGATGACGTGCATTTTTGATTCTTGCTTGGTTATTCGGACGGCAAAAGAGAGAAATGCGCCTGTCGCCTGGAAGCCAATATGATCAGTACATAGCACTCTTGATTTCAACAGGCAGTGAGCTAAAGACATACCTTGTCATCTATCTGTTTGAAGGCATTGGCTTCGTCAATGATCAACACCGGGGGTCTTTCCCCGTGGTGAGACAGTGAGAATGGCTTGAGACGGCTCCCAAGTTCTCTGAAAACTGTTGCTGCCTTTTGTGGGGAAGGGTGGCTGTCGCGAAGGTTTGCTGAGACGCCAAGTGCTGCCACCTCGGCCACGTTCGACATAAACCCCCAGAATGTGTTGCGCACCGCCGTCCTTATAAGTCCATCGTCGATAAACGCATTCAGAAAACTGCCCTTTTCTGAAGTATCAACTTCACGGAGATCGATTATCAGTGGATGGAACTCGGGAGTGTTATTGAGTCGATTTTGAGTTGCAACGTGCCGAGCTAATGCTGTTTTTCCTGAACTGGGAGGTCCGAGTAAGACTGTGAACTGGGGTGGTGCTTTCAATTGAGTAGTAAGATGTTCTACCTCTAGAGATCGGTTGTAGAAAGTGCGTGCAAATGTTTGATGAAGAAGGAGCTGAGAGGAGTGAAAAGCCAACGATTGGGATGGTTAGGATCTTATAGGAGGAAACAAAACTGAAAGGATTTGTATGATTGTCAACTCACGCTGTGTCTTGCTTGAGCGGGCGCAGGGTGTTGCGACAGCAAAAATAGCTGATCATGTCAGATTGTGAGGTCAGTCATAAGTCATCCTGTTGTTGAGTCTGGTGATGTGAAGGGGTTAGGGTTCGAGGTACATGCCTCACCAACTGGAAGGACCTTGCCGGCTGGAAGGAAACCCTTCCAGCCGGCCATTGGTCTTGGGTATCCCAGGGGATACCCGGATATCCACCGGGATTTGGGGGGGGGGGAAAGGACATCCACATCCTCTGGCACTGGCGGGTATCCGCCAGCGCATAGCGGATATCCGCAACGGATTATCCCCACCCATCTCTACTGGAAACAGCGGCACAAGGTGGGGTAAGTGATGTGGTTTGTGGAAGGATAATATCATTTTACATAGAGAGGAAAAAGAGAAAGAAAGGAAGAAGGAAAAGGGAAAAGAAACACAGGAAACTAGTGTACCTGGCAGTGGAAACAGCGGCACAAGGTGGGGTGAGTGAGGTGGCTTGTGGAAGGATGAGGAACAAGACCTTCCACAACTGCTGTGACAGTTGTACAATGAAATATGTGAAAGGTGAGTGAAAGGTACGATACATGTGTACTAAAGCAGAAATGCAAGTGAATATGGCAGTACACTGTGGGTGCATTTGAGGATTTTGGGTCCAGCCATGGGATGGCATTGTCCCAAGGCCGTCCCAGGTCCTAAAAAGACATCACAATGGCCTTGTTGTGAGGCTGTTGTGATGGTGGATCTCTGTTTTAAATTGATGTGGAACCCACCCTAGGACATCCAAGTGCACCTGTGGTGTACTTTTGTTTTCAATTCAAATTGAAAACCAGTTTGTTTTAAGTTTTATGAGACCAAACCTTAAGTGCCTGGTGGTGTTCATGGAGTTGTCTTCAGAACCAATTTTGAACTTGTGGAAACATCTCATGGTGGGTGCAGCGGACGTGGTGTCAGAGTGATTGCGGGCTGCGGCTGAGACTCGAAAATGCAGTTGATTTTGACAGGATTAATTGATGTGGTGATACGGGGTGATGATGACATCATAATATGGTGATATGGCGTCATCCCAAACACAGAAGACGACAAGCATCGGTTTGCGGCTGCAAAACTTGGATAACCTGGTGGTGACTGGGAAATCATGGTTGCAGGAGTGTGTTCCGAAATCGAACGCAGAGTATTTGAAGACTTGAGTTGATGAAGTACAGAAGTGAGTTATCAATTTGGCAAGGTCATCTACATAGATTAAAATTCACCATCAACACCCAACTGCAAGGACCACTGATCACTGAAAACCAACAGAGTGCTTGAGTGGCTGAAGTCGAGCCCATAGCCGGCCTGGTGTGTCGAGGCGGATGAGTGAGCTTCTACGTCAATATATTTTTTGGAGTGTTCCTTCCTGAGCCGGCTCTGGTCAAGCCCTCAGCTTGATTATTTATGTATCCTCCCTTTCTGCTCCCTTGCCGAGTCGACTAACTTCACGCTCAACTCCTGATCAGCTAGATCATCGGATTCGACCTCTGATCCCCGATTAAGCAATATTTTGTCGGCATCCTCAACTCGCCGGGACGAATTTTGACAGATCAGTAAGAGACTGCTATTAATTTGTCCCTCTATGCAATCCAAGCCGAAACAGTTCATCGCTGATCACCCAATCCCGACCTCCGTTTGATTCCAGCCAGCCAATTATCAGCTTCCGATATAACCCTGCGCTGGTAATTTGAGTCTACCCTACTCATGTGAGTCTGTAAACTGTGCCATTTCAAAATACAACGCTTCCATGCGATTAACCTACCGGCGGCTGATGTATACATACTAAACCCAGTCAACTCAGGAGATCAAACCATCAAATCAGTGCTCGTGTGACGAGTAAGATAATCGTCATACAGTCTTAATTACACTCACCCCCGCTATCAAATCACACTCAATAACCTACCGTAACTTAACTAAACTTCGACCTCCAGAAACCTCCCTTATCTATCGATCACCACCCTCATTCCAACTCGTCTGCATCCTACTCCAGCGTCACCCCCGCTCAGCTGCATCACTTGCAAACCCATTGTGATTCAAACAGATCACGTTCTAAGCTTCCATTCTGCCACTCAGCGGATGGGCTTACTGGCACTCGGTACGCCTTTTGATTGGCTGGAAGCCAAACAGGTCTGTTAACCGTCTGTTCCACAGCATGTCCGTACTGAGAGCCAGCTTGGACGTCTGACTTGATGTTTTGATGATCTACTCTATCTAGTATGCAGATCACGTCAGACAGCAGGGTATACAGCAGTTTCTGAGGCTTTGGCGTAATCTACAAGGTCGAAGTGACGATCTGCCTCTATGGGGAGATGAAATCGAGTATTTTTTGGTCTCACTAGATCATACCACCCGCCAGGCCAACCTGGCCTTGAGACAGGAAGAAGTATTAGAATCTCTCCAGCAACCTTCAACTGCTCCCTTGCCTCCGTATGTGCCAGTTTCTTTCCTTGGCCTTTTCTCTCTTTTCATTGGATCGCTCGCTGATTTAAATTTGTTTTGAATCCAAATAGTCAGATCGATGTCAGACCGACCTTTCATCAAGAGTATGGCCGCTATATGCTTGAATCAACACCTGGCGCTCCTTACATTTCCACTTTAGAGGACTGTCTCCGTGTCGAGTTTAACATGCGATACAGGTCAGCCTCCCGCGTATGGTTGTCATTGAGCATATAAATATATTGAAAATATCGCATTTTCAACAGGCGCGAGTTGATTAGAGCCAAGCTGGCAGAGAATGAAAGACTGGTTACCTTGACTTCCTTTCCTCGACTTGGAGCTCCGCAGGGATTTACCGTTCCTTACGAGGCTCCTTGTGGATCAGTAGCTCAAAGTCTTTACTTACCTGATGATGTTATCAATCAACACATACGTTTCCCGTCAGTAATCCAATTTTTCATGTATCTTCATGCTGCTTTCAAGGGTGTTTATTTTTTATTTTTTTCGTCTTTGCATCTGATCCATATCTCCATACCTCAGAACCCTGACTCGCAATATTCGCAAGCGCCGAGGCTCGAAAGTCGCCATCTTCGTCCCTGTCTTTCCAGATCTTAACACACCCAAGCCATTTAGAGACCCTACTGTACCCGCCGTGCCACCAGAAACTTCCGTTGCCCCTGGAGCTTTGCCATCACCCTTAGCCAATGGCGATCGGTTTCCCAACGGCACTGAGAAGATTGCTATTCCAGCAATACCAGATAATAGCATATATCTCGACGCCATGGGTTTTGGGATGGGTTGTTCTTGTCTCCAAACAACATATCAGGCACAATCAGTTACACAGGCAAGATACCTTTATGATGCTCTGGCTACAGTGGCTCCAATCATGATGGCGCTTTCAGCAGCTGCACCAATTTTTAAAGGATTTCTTTCGGACGTAGATTGTCGGTGGGACGTGATTTCAGGTGCTGTAGATGATCGTACAGAACCTGAAAGAAGTCCAGAGAATTTGGTATGCATTTTTCTTGTTTTTTTTTTTTTTTTTTTTTTTTTTTTTTTTTGATTCTGCACATTTTCATCTGTGCTGTAAATCTTGTTTATGCTGGTACTGACGTGTAGTTGGGTTTCTTCATATTGTCCTATCGAGTGTAGAATCAAAAATACATTCCCAAATCGCGCTATGACAGCATCAGTTTGTATATTGCCGATGACGCCCGCCATCGACCAGAGTACGATGATGTCCTTGCGCCCGTGGACAAGTCGATTGAAAGTCAATTGTTTCAAAACGGCCTCGATCACATCATGGCTCGTCACATTGCACACCTTTTCATCCGCGACCCTTTGGTGATCTTCTCGGAAACGTTGGAGCCTCGAAATGATGATTCGATGGATCACTTTGAGGTTTGCCTATTATTCGACTTGAATCTGGCATGTTTACATCCACCTCCGATTGGCTAAATCAGTGGATTCGTCTTTACCAGAACTTGCAATCAACCAATTGGCAATCTGTCCGGTTCAAGCCGCCACCATCGGCATCATCCTCATCAGATATAGGATGGAGGGTAGAATTTAGAACCATGGAGGTCCAGATCACGGACTTTGAGAACGCGGCTTACTCGATCTTTGTCGTGTTGTTGATCCGGGCGATCTTGATGTTCGACGTGAATTTTTACATCCCACTCTCCAAGGCAAGTTCATTCCCCGCCCCTGGTTTCACCAGTTGCACCAAAACCATCTCTGATAAGCCCACTTGCCACTCTCTTCTTGATTCTGCATCGTAACAGGTTGACGAAAACATGCGTCGAGCCCAACAGCGGGATGCAGCTCGCTCTAGTTTATTTTATTTCCGTACTCAAATCCAAACCAAACCAAATACAACAGCAACATCTTCGTTGCAACAGCAAGGTATGACTCCTTCAGTGCCAGTTGATGGGATTAAACCTGAGTTTGAGGAAATGACGATGGATGAAATCATCCACGGCAAACAATCAAGTCAATATCCAGGCTTGATGCACCTCGTCCTCTCCTATGTCGACAAAACTGATGCTGATGATCTAGTTAAAGAGAATATCAAAAAGTATCTTGATTTCATCAGCGCTCGTGCAACTGGTCAGTCTCCATAATATCGTAGTCAATCTTCTTTTGAGAGCAGATTGTATGCTTGGTTCATGAGAATGACTGATTTGAATCAAATGAATATCATCTAGGGCGTTTAATGACAACTGCGGCCTACATCCGCAAATTTGTCCAAGAACATCCGGCTTATCAACAAGACAGTGTAGTTAGCAGTGAAATCAATTATGACTTGATTTGCAGGATCAATCAGATCGAGGCAGGGAAACATAGAGCCGAAGAGCTAGTAGGACCGGGATATTCTTCGACTCTACCTCACACTTGAATGCTCTACTCATAAAGGTCCACGGATAGGGTTTCGAAAATAGAGTTTTTATGTTTTCTATTTTATTTTATTTTTAGTTTCTGTTCATTTGCATTTCTGCTTCAGATGTCTCATCATATCGGGTTAGTTTTTTTTTCATTATAAACGCGGTCGTATCGTGTATTGAATCCAGTTGTATTTAAGCATATGCACTGCTGCTCAGATCATCATTAAATGACTAGTGATCAAATCACTTCTCAAACCTTGAGCGCAAAAGTTGCCCATGAGAACCCCAAATTAAATTCCTGCGAGACGACCAAAGGTCGTACTAATTAGTTTGAGCCCACTCAATTCAATGAGGGCTGCCTGAAGTGTATGGCAATCCATCTTCCTTCACTCACAATGCTTCACTGTGTCATTTTGACTTGAGCTCTCAACTTTCATTAAAACCAAGATGTGGACAAGACTTGTTTTCTTTTCCCAATATACATATTACAAGTGAGACAGTTATTTTAGGTGTATCAGACACTACTCTTCGAAACTTAAAAAAATAAAACAACACCAGCACGTGAAAGAACCAATTTAAGAAGAAACAGGCTATACTATAGCGCTTGAAATTTAACAAACAAAAATACAGTCAGAAACTAGTTTTAACTTATAAGCTGGCCAGGGTGAATTGATCTGTATATTCGCCAACTGAAATCCTTTGAGGTATTTAGCGGTCGGTCGGGTTTATTGGCCAAGGGTATATATACACAGCAGTTAGTCGGATGTGATGAGATGGTCGTTGGTGAAGTTACGAACGATGTCGGCGCAGGTCCAGGCGACACACTGGGCATAGCGATGCCAATTCTCGAGAAGGGCCTCCCGGGCCGTACGAGGGGGGACGGACAAAAGATCAGGCTTTTTGTGTCTTCCACCGAGGAAGTATTTGTCGGCTCGGATGGCCTCTCTCATCGGTTTTCGCTGGGAACATCTCCCACAGAAGACGTCGTACATCGCCAAGCGGACGATCTCGGGATGGTTGATCTCGAGGCCTGCCTCCCGCTGTTGGTCGATGTATTTGTCGTGCACATAGACAAACGCTTCATACGGCCTCCAAAACACCCGGTCGTGGCACTGGAACGGTCGCTCCTCTACCATCAGCTGTTCCGCTAGTGTGCTGGAAACCACGTCGAATTCCGACATTCTTATAATTAGCTCGTCAAGTTTCTCGGGTGAGGTTGATTGACTGGTCATGGTGACCAGAACCAAGATAAAACAATCAGCAAGATCCCAGACAACTTAATAGTTCATAAAATGCTACAATTACCTTTTTCCTTGAATAGGGTTTTATTCCTGGTAAGTAATTAATCGACTCTTGTAGTCGAAATAGCTCCACTCTAGACCAGAAAAATGGCAACGGCATAAGCACAAGATCACACAAATTAGTGCGCTTCATGACATCTAGCAGAGGTTGAATATACCTTCTGGGAACCAGTGCCCAGAATATATACTGATCGGATCGAGTAGATTATATGTTATGTATGAATTAGGTTTTTGGGTCGAATTTCTTACTATGATGAGGGCGATTGATGAGGATGATGCATCTAATATGATCCCTTTATATACAAGTCGAGTCCGAGGGCAGCGGGAAGCAGCAGGAAGCAGGATGAGCAAAAGAAAGGTGTGGTAGATTCCGGAGCAAGAGACACCCAGGGTGTCGAGGCGCCAATCAAGAGGGAAAACACCCTTTCTTCAATCGAGATTATCACTGATATGCAGAGAAAAACCGTCCAAAATCTTCGCAAGGCCTTGTGACCCAGCCCGCTATCTTAGCTTGATCTGTTTACGTTCCTTTTGAAATTCAATAGGATTCTTCTTCATGACTTTTGTTTGTATTCTTCTCTCATCCATTTCTCCAAAGATATCATGAGGAAAACGATTCACCTTTGTGAGTTAAGAAGTGTTCGATTTGGTTAAAGAGTTGGTTGCGACAACAAGGTGGTCATACACGTTTAGCAACCAGAAGTCACGTTCAACAACTATCTTATCCGCTCGTCCATCTAGACATATCACTTTCAAGAAGTGTTTGATTTGGTTGCTACAACAATGCCGTCACAGGATCAGAAGCGCCATGATCGAATGATCACAGCGCTGAGAGTTTCCATCTCTATACATAAATTCCTGCGGCACCCAACAAAACTCCGCCAAGTTCCGCCAAGCCGTAGCCGGGGCCCGGGGCCACATGAAGTAAAAAGGAAGGCAGTTATGTATTCCAAATGGTCGGAGTCTCTCATTCTTGAAGGACCAGAGGGTTTTATACTTTCCGACCGATTTACATCCATGGCTGAACAGCCAGGCCGACTCCCATTCTCAACAGTTCGATACATGTCTATATATATGTGCGGACCGGGGGTTAAGAATCAACGCATCTGTCCTGTGCCGCCTGACCAGACGATGATTGTACCCTACATAATGTACAAATTTACGCGGGGGCAACACCCACCTTCAAAGAAGATAAGAGAATCAACTGCTGATAAGGCGTGCTTCATTGTGACCTATGCGTCTTAACTCGCCCTTATAGGTCAGCGTCGGCAGATAAATGAGTCATGTATATAAACACAGCGCTTGGGTAGCTTCTAATCTATTGAACGGGACATGATGACTCTTTGACGGACCACATTTAATTCTGAGAAGTTCAGAGAGATTCAGAGGAGCCGCGATACGGCTTCATCACCTTCGGACACAAGTGCAACCTATGTAGGGCCAACTTTATACATATTAGCGTCCCTCTTTCTCGGAGAGTGCCGGATTTTATAAACAACGTTCCTCATCCCCGAGGGGCCGAGGGGGACCTCATCGTGTACCTTCGCCGGTCAAAAAAAGGGTCACAGTACCCAGGTCGCCCCTCTGCCAGTGTAGACCGATGGCCTGTGAAATGAAGGGCCCTCAAGGAAAAAATGTATTTATACTGCGACTCCCACAAACGCAGACATCCCAAATTATAAAGCTCTCAATCATCACTTGCAGAGCGCCTCTGCTTATTTAGTGCATTTACTTGAACCATCAGGATTCAGAATCATGAATGATTTGCGTCCCTCTTGCAAGTCTTATGAAGAGATCTTGAGTGTTGATCTGTACAGCCTTCCTCTCTCATGTTCTTGATCACCTTCATGCTCTGTAATCAAGATATGACATGCCATTAACATCGGGAACACGCGGCCAGTCTTGAGGCCTTTTTCTCTTGTGCTCTGTCAGGCAATAAATCATTTTTTTTTGCGTTTATTCATTTATTTTTTTTTAGATTTCTTTATATCTGAATTATAGATCAACATGTAGATACACAACAAATGCAGAAAACAAATGGAAATCTATCAACACAACAAGACTACTAAAGAAAAAAGAAAGGAAGGATAATACACGCAACAACAAGGGTTAAAGCAAAAAAACAAAGACTGAGGAAGAGCTACTTCATGTATTAATAATAAGTGCGCGTGTGTTTTGATTTTTTTTTTCTTGGATGTGTGTTGAGGAAGTGATGCATTGTGATGTTGTTATAACTGGGGTGTATGTGTGTGTTGGGGAGAACATCTATCCAAAGAAACGAGAAGAAAAAACCCGAGCTTTTTTTTCCTCGACCCGTCCCCTCACAATCACTCCATATACATATATATATATATATATATAATATAGATCTACATATACGTACTAAAAAAGGGGAAAGGAAAAATCAAATATAAGATAAGGTAAATCAATCAAGATAAGTAAATTAATTAACCGTTCTAAAGTGTCGTCGTCATTCATCATCATTTCTTGATCGTCATTTGAAGTAGCTTTGTTTAAAATGTTTGTTTGTCTTTTTTTGGATTTCTTTTTGAAATATACATATCTATATATTTATAGAACTCGTGATTTTATTATATTTGTATAGATGTATCTTTTTCTACAACATGTGGTGCATCTGTTTTTGTGTGTGTACACCCGCTCTTATCAATCAACTAGAGAAGGAAATGGGATGGGACCTACAAAAAGATAGGCGGAAGGGGAGGGAAAGAAAAAAAAACTGGTCGTTTGGAGAGGCGTCAAGGGAGATGAGTGGGAAGAGGATCACGAGTTCATCAGTCTACCCAAGGAGGAGAGATGTTGAGGATGGTGATGGCCGTGTTCATCGATCCTAACGGCAGAGGATCCACCAGGGATGGAGTTAGATATTCCAGCGCTGTTATTGCGACTGGTGGAAGCTGAAGAGGGTTTGGGGATGATGGGCAGATAGGCCATGGCCTGGCCGCCATCGCGATGATCGTAGTCGTCGAGGGGGACGATCTCGTGCTCGGCGGGCCGGGCCGAGCCCGACGGGCGGCTGTGGCTCTCGGGACGCATGCCCGGATAGTCGTCATCGACCACGACGGAGAATGAAGAGCTGTTCGGCTTCGATGGTGGTTGGCCCACTGGGTGTGGATGTCCCTGCGCCTGTTGGGGGATCATCATCCCTCCCGCTCCGGGCACCGGTACCGACCCCGTCGACATGTAATGCGTCGATGCATTCACATTTGGTTGGTAGTGATACCGCCCTTGTCCTCGATGGCTTGAACTCCATGCATCGTTCGACTCCGCCTGGTTTGGTTGGGACAGATTTTTCCCAATCAACCATACAAGTCCAATCGAGAGTTCAGAATATGTCGGCCAATCATGAACCATGGGATGAAAAATACCGAGTACGAAGTTTTCCATTCAAGTTTTTTTTTTGATGTTTCATATTTTTCATCGTTTCAGAAGATTTTTTTGTGGATTTAGGTTGAGTTTTCGTTTTTTTTTGGAAGGGGTAAGTATTTTGGAGGAAAAGTTGGGAGATGGAGAGTGAGTGGAGATGTTGAAATTTTTTGGAAGAAGAAAGAGGGGAACGTGAGCAAAAAGGATCATCAAAAGTAAGTCTTCATAGTTGAGATATTTGAATCGTCACAGTTGATAAGAGGATGATGAATGTTCAATGTAAGAGTGGTGACGATGATTTTGAGAATTGATGATCGTTGAAGGGAAAAGATGGGTAGGGATAAGAACAAAAAAAACACGAATCAAGCTCAACAAGACGCGCTACACCTCAAGCCTTGTGAAGAAGATTTCTTAGGAAAACCGACACCCAAAAGCACATTTAAAAATTGACCACCTGGATATTGTAGGGGAGTTCTTTATTTTGGACTTGGGGCAACTTGTCCAGAGATGAAAAAAAAAGGATAGAGCAAGTGAAAGAAGGTAAAAACAAGAAACTCACCTGCTCGTGCAAATAATCCAATTGAGGGTTCGCCCGATAGCTAGCCCTACGAGTGAGGCCACTATTCCCGGGAATCCCAGTCGAATTCGCAGCGCCAATGCCGTGTTGTTGTCTCTGCTCCCAGGCCAGATATTGGTCGTCCCGCCTGAGGACGGGGGTGACGCTCTGTCCAGAATAATTGGCCAGATCGACTTGGACCTTTTGTAACTGGGGAGGGACAATGTCCATCTGATCTAGCGTTCCGGACCGTTGTCGAGAGCCTGAAGAAGTTCGGACGTGACTGGAAGGATTGGTCGATCCACTCGGGTTGAGGATCGGGTTGTAAATCATTTGATTGTGTGACATGAGCGGTTGCATTTGAGGACCAGCTATGCTACCCGTTGTCAATGGTCCTGAGAATCCACTACCACCAGCCCCGCGTGTACTATAGTAAGAATGTGGGATGTTTATGGCAGCTGATGAGCTGGTGGCGAGGGAGGTAGGTTGAGGTGGGTGAGACAGTGCCACACGATTGGAAGCGTATTGAGGTGGTAGTTGATGCGTAAGGGCAGGTGCGGAGTTTGGGGGTTGTTGCTGATGATTTGATTGGGGAGGTAGTTGAGTAAGATTGGAACGATTGTCCTGAGGTAGCGCATAGGGATTCTGACTTTGCTGAGCAGCTTGGACCTGATGTTGACGCATTGCGGCTGCCTGTGCGTTGATGACTTGCTGCTGGGCTTGTAGTTGGGAGTAGGCGGCGGCATCATAAACCTTTTGTCCGGATCGGACAGGTGCCGCAGGGAGGCCACCGTAAGGACGTTTGGACAGATCGTTTGAGCCAGCGCCACCAGCGGTTTGGGGAGAAGCTTGGGGGTCTATGGGTGAGTGGCCATACCCTTTTTGGGCGAGCTCCATGACTCTATCACCTCCAGGATTTGAAACAAATCCAGACTTCATAGGGATATAGGGCTCGCGAAGAGGTTCCCCCAAGATAAAAGGATGTAACCGAGCTTGCTGAGGAGACCACCTTTCGATTGGATTGATGTTCAGAAGACCTTTAACAAAGTCAATGAAAGCAATCCGGTTTTGCTTTTCTATGAGTCGATAAATGATTCAGTACGATGCGAATGATGGTCATGCGGTAGATAAGTAGAAGAGGACGAACCTTTCTCGAGATCGGCTGGTTTCATGCCTTTGCGAATCACCGGATATTGACTGATGATGTCTTCTAGTGTGTTTTGTTGAAAGTATCGCTTGCTAGGTTGCTCGGCAACATTGTGCTCCTTGGAATATTGTTCCAAGCTTTTGAGCTTGTAGACCTTTCGAGCGCCGTTAAAAGTGTCTTCGATCACGTCAAAAAATTGAGTGGTTTGTCGTCCAACGTCCAGCATATACGAAGGCGGCATTCTACAGGACCCCAAAAAAAAGAATCAGTTTCTACTTTGACCCAAACTTGAATCAAGAGCACCAATCGGGTACTCTTTTTTGGAAATGCAGACAGACCCCAGCATTTCAACAATCCTCGTGATCTGGTTATATTCAGATGTTCCGGGAAACAACGGTAAACCCAAAAAGAGCTCGACACATATACAACCCAATGACCACATGTCGATTGCAGACGAGTAAGGTAGGCCTGTGGAGTCAATTATTCAGTCCTCGGGTCTTCAAGCAGAGTGTACGAAGAGGTGAATGAATGCAAACCCAAGATGACTTCAGGAGAACGATAAAACCTGGATTGGATGTAAGTATAGACGGTTTGACGTTCGTGACAGGCCGAACCAAAGTCGATGACTTTGATCTCTGGGGATGAGAGCCTAGATGAGAGAAGAAGGATGATTAGCAGAGATAGCTGCTTGTAGAAGACTTAGCGAGAGAAAGATCAACTCAACGAGGTTAATAGGATGTTCTCTGGTTTGAGATCGCAGTGGATGAGATGAGCCTCGTTGAGGACAGTTAATGCATCGAGTAGTTGGTTGGTGAATACTCTGACGAGACTGGTACTGAGTCCTCTGAATGAGTTCTGTTTGATGAGTTCGTATAGGTTTGAGGAGAGTAGTTCGAAGACTAGACAGAGATGGTTGTGGTGAATGAAGGTATCCTTCATTCGAAGGATGTGATGTTTGTTCTCAGGATCCCAGGTGTTATTGAGCTGTGAATCGAGGGATGATTTTTATGGTTAGTGAATATGAATAGTTTTAGAGAAATAAATGAGTAATTGCTTACTAATTCTAGGATGGTAACCTCCATCATACTCTGACTGAAGTAAGCCTGTTTATTCTTGACGACCTTGACGGCGACCACTTGGTGAGTCTTCATATCTTGACATTTGACGACCTGGCCGAAAGTGCCCTGGCCGAGTACGTCTAAGATCAGATACTTGTGACTGGCTGATGATCTGATTGATCTGATCTGATGGTTTGGATCCTGTTGCTGCTGCTGGTGTTGCTGCTGCTGGAGTAGTTGTAATTGGTTTGGATCGGTTGTTGTTGAGGAAGGACTGCCGCCTAGGATATCGTTGACGTATAGAATATAATCAGAGTCTTCGTTATCTAATCCGTTATTACCCGCCGGTTTGGATGGTTTGGTGAGTACTCTCCTTGGGTTCAGACTGAGTTCGTAGCGGAATGCTGGGTTGACGAGTCTGTAGGTATCCGCTAGATGGATGGTCAGAGCACTGAGGGGGGAGATGAATGTACCGTCGTATGGGTTTACCCTGCGCTCGACAGGAGTGTCGTGTAGGATTGGGAAGAGGTGGGCTGAGCCTGGGATGAGTCTTCTGAATCCGATCTGATCGGTTTGAGTTGCTGATGGGTGCTGTGGATGGCTTGAGGTTCTGCTAGCTGATCGGGATCCATAGTACTGTTCGGTTGAGGGTGCTTGAGATGAGGAGTGAGATGAGGACTGGTTTAGGTTTTGATGATAGTTGGTGTTGTTGGTGTAGTACTGATGTTGTTGTTGTTGTTGTTGTTGTTGTTGTTGTTGGTTTGAGTTGTTGATGTTATTCGCTGGTAGGTTCATGATGGTTGGTTTTTGGTTTTTTTGGATTGGATGCTGATTGGGGGAAGCAGACAACACTCTGCTGGTCTGAATCTGATATTGGTTCTTTTCAGAAAAATCAGCAAACCAGAGGGCGAGAATGAGATCAGCGGGTGGGGGCCGACGGGCAAAAAATTAAAATAAAGTTTAACTTCACTGTTAAACTTTAACTTAACTCAACCACTTCTGACTACTTCTGACCATGAAGATGACACTAGAAGATGTTAAGCCTCAAGGTAACAATTACCGAGATTCTAACAAAACCCACACCGATCCAGCAGGTCTCTGAATGAAATAAACTCATCCCCCCTAATCAGATACGAAACTCAAAAGCACTTTGTTGATGACAAAACAACAGAAATTGGTACCTAGTCTAATTATTTCCAAAAAAAGATTTATTTATCACTCAAATTGATAATTTCAGTCAAATCATTTTTGATTAGCATCAGCCAAATCATAATTCAAAACCAGTGATTCTGATGCTTTTGATGGTGTTCAACTTTGAACCTCCACAACACACTGTAGATAATACCTATCCCTTTAAGGTCTCAGCATATCATTGGCCTCCTTGTTTGCTTTCTTCTCATACAATTTGAATTTTGAAGCCACATCCCCCCACGTCTTCATGTCCTTTTTATTTTTCTAAAAGTTTATTTTTCTCAAATTTCTGGACAATGCAACTGGATAACAAGATAATTGTCTGTGCACACTTGGGATTCTATTACTGTTTCTTTTTATAAATATTTTTCATAAAAATGTACAGTGGAGTTACAACATGTTGAAAAATACGTGAAATGGAGCAAAGGATCATGTGATAATATAGGAAAAATCAGTCTTGAGGATAGGGGAAAAATGAGCCTTCAAACTGAGTCTTCATGGGGACAGTGCTTGAAAACACATAAGTAACAACAATTTTAACAAAAAGAGGGCACAAATATCCAGAAGAAAGTCTCATGCAAGACTTCTTGACAAGTCATAAGTCCCTCCAACAGAAGCCTCAGGCAAGGGGGGACTTCGTTAATTTTGCATCAAATTATTCATGAAGATGTTCATAGCTTCATTTTCTTTTCCTTCTTGCAAGCCTTTTAAGATACTTGACTTGATGAATCTCATTTTAAAGTCAGAAGTAGACAAAGTTTTAACTCAACAATCTGGCTCCAAAACTCTTTATGAAACTCCTACAAGTCAAAAAATGTGTCCATTTCTCACACCTCTAGTGTGATGTGGGGTGTTAGTTATATTCATTCAAGAAATTCCAAACTGTTTATGTTTCTTTTCAATTGCAATTATGCTTGATTCCTTCCATGGTAAATTCTAATAGTTCTTGGAAAAGAAATAACTGGTGCCAAACTCATGTTCATTTCACTGAGTCTCCTGCTTTTATGGCTGTTTTGTAAGCTTTCCTTGGGGGATTCTTGCTTGTCGATATAAATTTCAACACTGGGTCACTACTTTACGCTGCACTATCTGCATTATCCAGTAATGTAGTGAGCTTGATTCCTTCACTGATACATTGACATTATCTGTAGTGGCTGATTTTTCTTTCAGCCAGTAGTGTTATGATGAAGTTTTTGTCTATTATAAATGGATCAAGTAATGCATTATCACATTATACAGAGATTACACAGCCCTGAACACATTTTAAGTTTCAAAAAGCCTCTCTTTTTTGGGCTTGGGCAGCAACACATGCCATAAATTTCCAAAAAGTATCACATGTATTAATATTTAGGGGGTTTTCAAATAAAATCCACAAGTTGCTGATAGTGTTGTAACTACCCAGTGTTGATATTATCTTCTTGGGTGAACTTTTGTCTGGCATGTCTAGTTGATGATCAGGACTCCTGTTTCCATCCTCTCCTGTGAGACTCCATAAGTTAACTATTTGACTCGGCAGATTTCAGGAAAATATGGGGTTTAAATTGAAATTTGCTGCAATGAAGTATGGACAAAGAAAGAGCTTGAACTGATATGTGGATATCCCTAGATCCCCAAATTGGCCACTTGGCTACTTACAGTGATGATTGAGTGGCCAGATCATAAATCCTCCTGTAACCTGGAAACCACAATCAGAGACTGCATTTATCTATGGCATTCTTGAACTTTCTGAGCATCAATTCCTTGCATGTAGTTACATAACACATGAAGATCAAAGTCCAAATTCACATCTGAAATTCTACAATATTTTATTGTTGTAATTAATTCAATCAACAAGCACACTCAATTGAAGAATTAAATATTTAGCAAGTACAAATATTTGGAGAAGGAATGCAGACCATGATTTTTTGTTTTGGGCATGATGCATGTCAGGTCATTGATTCTGAATTGTGGGTTAAATTCAAGACTCAAATTAAAAAAACAAAAAAAACAATTTCCAATACCATGAACTTGGAGCTCATAGAGGCTAGAGCCAATAGGAGACATTTTAGTTTTGTCTGGCAGTAACTAAGCCTGATTGGCTGGAAGTGTTGTAACATGATGGGTGTCATAACAAGGAGCATCAAATAGATTGATGTATATAGAGTAATCAATAACATAGTCAAAAGAGTTCTTTGGGAGGGATACAAGTACCACAGTTACTTTTTCAAAGAAGATTACGGGAAACTGGATTGTTTTGACAGGAAATTGAATCACTCTAGTTCATGAGTTTCTTTCAACCAATTGATCACTGGAATAATCACTCTAGTATCTAACTAATGAATTACAAACATATATATATCACAAAGAGAATCTGTAGTCATAACAGGAATAATCATAATATAATCACATGTATGTGCATCGATGGTGTGTACTTCCTCGTCAAGATAGGCAAATAAGTTTTGATTCCTTTTGGAAACAACAAAAAAGGAATCAATAGTAGAGATTGATGTTGAATAACAGCTTATTTTTACCAAAACGATTCTCGATCGCCCCAAACATCGATCAAATCCATCAAGCTTTCCTCCGGTTCGGTCATCGAGGGCGGGAAGAATTTCAAAAGGGACTGGAATAGCTGGGTTCGTTGGTCTCTTATCTTACGATAGCGATCGATGATCTCGGTGCCAAGACCGTTGCCGTTCTGAGCACCGGGTCCAACGTCTGCATGGTCTTGATCTTCACTGGACTTTTGTCTGGCTGTCATCCCACAATCTTCTCCATCTTCTTCTCCATACCGTCCCTCTAAATCATCCTCTTGAGCTGCGTCTTCTTCTAGTAGTGGCACTCGAGGCCCTGGTCCTGCAAGCAAATGACTCGTACAAGCCCGAAACAACTTGGCTTCCCTTTCGTCCAGATGATTCGTGACGGATGATAGATCGTTTTGAAGATACAGCAGTGCGCTTACTGTATCTGTTTCCTTTTCACACATTTCAATAAAGCTAACCGGAGAAACACAAGCAAGGTGAGTGGGTGATAATGACAAGACACTCTTTTTTTATATACTCAACTGTTGCCTCCTTAATGCAAACAAACATCGTCTCAATGCCTCCCGTCGCGTAGGTTGAATCAGTTGCAACTTCCAAAAGTCACCGAGTCTAGTCGGTTCATTATCATTATCGGCCGGGTTCCCGCCGAAGCTGATGACGTTGATTCAGAACACGGAAATTGAACAAAGCATGAGTTCCAGTGACCATCAGAGGAATGGATGATAAGTCAAAGAGAACTTACACATAGTGTGTTTTGGTTAAATCATCGAAAACCATCTGCAAGTCGATAATCCAATCAATAAGCAACATAGGGCCATTGAACAGGGAAAAGACTGTACCTGATGAGCGAATCTAGGGGGTGGGGTTTCGGTCCCGTCTACTTGGGCCTTCATCGTCACTTTTGTCCATCTACCTTCGTCGATCCTCCACCTCCAGAATTCACTAGACATCATTTCGCTCTTTGAATTCGGCTTTGTCGCGGCTTCGCCAGAGCCTCGATCTCGGCATAGACCACAAAACATGTGCCACTCATCTGCCTCAGGATCGAACGTAGTTCTTTGAGAGAAACCAGCCTCAGGTGCCGAACCAGAAGAATTGGCAAATACATCCGAGGTTTGTTGATTTTTACCACCGTAGGTATAGTCCGCAACTATGAGCTCGGCGCGGCGATGGGTAATGTCATACTTCCAAAGATCTGAGTAATAGTGATGATCCCGTTCACCTGTTAGAACCCACAGACATTGTCGCTTTTTATCGAGGATCAATGAGTGCCCCATCCTCGATGGGATGTGGACTTGATGATCAAGAAGGTCAATCTCAGTCATGGTTGTACTCGATTCCGGATCAGTCCTGGATGGTTGTGAATAACGGCGTAAGCAATTCATATGGTGGGGTAATCATGATGAAAGATTATGGAAGTCTACTAACATCAGTTGGACCCAAGTTCGTGTTGTCAGATCATACTCGAACAAACCGCTGTATTGATTAAGAGTCACTCGCGAGGACGAGCTGGCAGTTTCTTGAGATAGAGAGTCGGCAGGCTGTATGATTTTACCGCCAAAAACGTATATCTTTCTTCGATCTGAATCTAGAACCATTTGATGATCAAAAATCAACTGTGGCCCATTCTCGAGCTTGAGATAGGCAGGAGCAGTATGCGCAAGAGCAAATTGATTAAATTAATCGATTGAATTTTGTATCAAAGCTTAAGATGTCACAAGGAGGCACTCACATGGGTATCTTGACTAAGGCATTCCCATTGTCCGATCCGCCCATTGTTATCCCACAGTTCATGGCTTGAAGGGTCTTGGAACGGTCGAAATCGAAACATGTCATTCTTAAATTGCCCAGTTGCCGAGGAAGGTGCATGTAAAGGCCCGGTTACGGTCTCTGCATCACCCATCAGCTCATCTACGTCGAGCTGAGGTTGTGGAGTCGGCCCAGTGGTGAAGGACGCTGGAAGGTTTGTAGCAGCCTGACGTCTTATTATTTCAGTAAAGGTTGGGTCGTTATGGTCTGCAGTAGTATCGGCCTGCTCGGCAGTTCCTGAACCATTTGTTGAACTATGAAGGGTGTTGAGTACTCTGTTAGGCAGTGTATTTTGACGTCTAGAATGAATTGGCGATTGACCATTTGTGGTACTCTGGGGGAAGTCGGATGGCTGGTGAGTCGGTGGTCGACCGCGTTCAGTGTAGCGACCGAGCACGTAAAGATCTCCTGTCATTTCGTCTAGAACCATCTTATGGCAGCTTCGGTTCATCGGTCCATTGTCTAGTTTTACATCACGCGATATTAGTTGCCATTGAGTATTGCCGTGCGAATGAACTGTCGGTCTTGGAGGATCGATCGTCTCTTTGAATCTTAGGTCATCGTTTGGCATTCCGGAGGGTGGCGAGCTCTCTTCTTGAGTTGAGATGTGGGTTGGTTCGAGATGATAAACCCAGAGATCGCCGAGATCTGTCACTCCATCAAACCCACCAAATAACCAGATCTTACGTCGTTTACTATCTATGCACATCTGGTGGCCACCCCTTGGACAGGGAAGTCCAGAGGCTGGGGTCGATCGTGGTAAAATCTGATGACAAGTGACAGTAGGAGCTTCAGCCAGTGCCCAAGGGTCAAAAAGGTTATCCAGAGCGGCGTTAATGACGATTTGTTCAGCATCACTGATTGGGGGAATCTTGAAGGGAAGATGATCGGAGGACTGAGAGGTTGATGGAAGCGGACCATCGAGTCCAAAACGAGGTTCCAAGTGAGGAACGAGAGCGGAATGAAGTGCTGATACAAGAGAGTGTTCGAAATGAAATTGGGCAGGGTTTGAAGATTGTGATTCCTCAAAGCTTGACGAGCCTGCTAGGTTTCCGTGGGTAGGATTTACTGTTTGAGATTCTGATTCCACAACGGGAATTGTTAAGGGTTGTACGAGAAGGGGTGATTGATCAGGGTTTGTCGCCGAGTTGATTAAGGCTTGGAAAGCTTCGAGATGTCCAGTTTGACGTAAATGCTTGAGACAAAGTCTTAGCGCGGCAGAAGCTCGCCACTTGGAGGTTTAATGGAAAAGGCAGATCGGGTGATCATCAGTTAAGTGGAGATGAAGTTACGCGTGATAAATGGCAACGAACCTTTTCGTAGATCTCAAGGCAAGGCGACATGATGTGATCCTCATCGTGACCTGTGACTGAGATATGCCTGTGTTGGAAAAAGATGGGAAGTATGTTGAGTATGTGTTTTTGGAGAAAACGATGGTTTTGAGTGATTTGAACAGTCAGCCTGGAGATGCTCACCAAATCGAACAATTATAATTACTCCCAGTGGCTGATAGGGGTTCGATCTTGATATAACGGACGGGGACGATGACCGTCTGAGTGGAATCTGATGAGGCTCGATGGACTTCAGAGCTCTTGAACCAGGTTACCCGATCGTTCTTCCACCGGAGTGGTACTGTTTCTGGGTTGGTATCATTCTTGAGTTCACCTTGGGCGAGTAGTTCCATCCTAGGTCCAGTTCGATGTGTTGGACCACGAGCTCGGATTGGATGTGGTGGTGATTGGTTGATTGGTTTGATGAGGTCATGAGGGTCGATTTGGATTGGATTGATGGAGTGAGATTGCTCGAGGTTGTTATTTGTTGTTGTTGTTGCTGCTGCTGCTGTTTGATTTGTTGTTGTTGTTGAGGAGGAGGAGGAGGAGGAGGGGAGTGGGGCTAGTGGCTGGTTTTTGAAGATCGATTGATGATGATTAGCTTGATGATGCTGATGATGATGAAGGTGGTGGTGGTGGTGAGAGTTGAGTGGGTTGGTGCAGGATGCTGGATTGAGATGCTGATCGATAGTTTGGTTGCCTAGTAGTGCCCTGAAGTCACCCTTCCCCTCGCCTGGAGCGAGACTGCCCCAGATCCTGAACAGTTTGAGGTTACATGGGTGAGGACGATGAAACTTTCCAAAGGTGATCGAGCGTACGATTGATGGTTTGCCGAGGTCGATGATGATATAGTCCTTGCGCTTGGAGGGTAGTTTGATGAGGCTTGTTGCTTCGGCTGATGCAGATTTGGTTGCTGGACCTGAGCCTGACCAGCGTGAGTTGGGGTCGGTTGGCGCATCCTCGAGTATGTTGAATGGATGGTAGACTGGTGAGCAGGTCGAAGAGGAGTGGATCGTATAGCTGAGTTGGTGAGGATGGTCGAAGGTGCTTGGGTCCATCGCAAATGTTCTGGGTGGGTTGTGGTTTGTAGGAGAAGTTGGAACTCATGAAGGAGGGTGAATCCCTCCGGAGAGGAATCGTGACGTCATACATATACCATCCAAACATATGCCATCCGCGGGTATTGCCTTTCCGAGATCCATACCGGGTACCCGACGGATCTTGCAGAATCATGGTACAGGAGCAATACATAGTGGGAATTTGTCCTGATTCCATGTGTCAATCAAGATACATATCATCCAGAATGCCCAAACACACTTCAGCAAACCAAGAACCAATTCACATTGACTCAGCCTTGGATGATGAACAAACAACAGTACTGGTTGAGGCTGGACCCAAAAATTCTAGCAAGGAAAGTTGGGTCTGGTACATGATATTTCAAGACAAAAACCTTCCACTGCCAAAGCAACTGCATCAGATGGATGTATCTGTGATTAGATCAGATATCTTCATACAATGTTAGAGGAATTTGCATTGCGATTTAGAGTGCTTTTGAGACCTCCCCAAGTCCTAAATTATCATATGGGGATTTAGAAAAACAACTCCCAAAAACTGGAAAAACACCTCCCAGGATTGAGTGGTTGAGCCATTACTATACAATATTATAATGGGGCTTGGTCAAATGACTCCCAAAAACTGGAGAGCTGACTCCCAAGCCCCAGATTCCCCAAAAAATGGGAGTCAAACCCCCAAAACCATTGACTGGTTTGGGAGTAGACTCCCTAAAATAGTATTACAAAAAAAAGAAAACCCCCGGTTGGTCTGGGAGTCAATCCACCCAAAATGACCAGGGTTTGGGGGTCGATGAACCAAACAAGCCCAACAGCAGCGGCTGGGAGGAATCCTCCCAGTTGCTGAGGTACACTCTCAATGTCAGCCTACGTGATGCCAAGATGTAAAATCTTCTAGCTGCATGTGGTGCAAAAGCAAGCAAAAAGCTCAAGGATTTTTGGTTTTAATTCTAAAGGAATAAATTCCAATAAAATAAGGAATTTATGGTGTTGTAAAGCTCAAAAGTGTTTGTGAAAACCTTTTGCTGAGTGTGGAAAGGGATGAATGAGGATACCTCTGCCTTTCCTGGATCACTAGACACTAGACAAGCCCACCAATCTCAGATTGGAAGGTTTAATAAAGTGATAGTGGAGTGTATCAAAAGATAACTGTGGCTTAACAGGTGGACAAAGGGTTTAACCCAGTTTTATATAGGTCTAAGAGGTTGATTTGAGAATGAGAGAGTGAGTCTAGCTGATATTTCAATGGTAAGGGGATGGTATGTTCAGAACATGTACATGAGGTATTTTGGCTGGTTGAGCAACCTACATGATGTCATAAGAGTTATTTTAGCTTGAACTAGAAGTCTACATGAGATTTTTATGCTGGTGTAGCATTTTACATGAGGTGATGTACTAGTCTGCAAGCTAAGGTGAGGTGATGAATATTACATGAGTGGTGTGAGATAGTCTGACAGCTGCAAGGAAGGTTAACAAATGACATAGCAACAGGACCAGCCTAGAGGCTACATATATCAAGTGTCAGAAGATAGTGTAGTTGTGTGTATACCTGTACTATAATGATGTGAGTATGTAGTTGTCCTGCAACGTGCATGTGGGTAGTGTGAATGATGTAATTTGTTGTTGTTGTTGAGTGTTGAAGTGTTGCCATGGTGGTGAGTTGTGTAATTGAGTGTGGTGATGGTCCAGAGGGTGTAGCTTCCAATCCAGTTGAGTTCCAGTGACGCCTCCAGTGGTGACCAAGGGTGAAATTGACCGTAGAATCCAGTTCTTGAGCCATATGGGGTGATTTGTGAGTGTATATATGAGAAAAAAGGTGTAAAAAGTATATAATTTGTAATAAAAGAAAAAAAACTGTAAAATTTTTAAATGGGCCAGATGGCTACCCTTAAGGTATACCACATCCTCCCCCAACTTATTGTCTGTCCCCAGACAATTCCGCCAAAAACTCCCCGCCAGGGTGCCGTGGAATTAGCCGTGTTGAGTTGTCCATTTTGTTGAGTAAATTTACAGGGGCAAGTTCTTACTTCCACCTTTGATTCTGGTGTTTTCAGTTTTCTTACTAAAAAGAATGGGCCACAAAAGCCCCCCCTTACTTTGGAAATTTCAAAAAAAAAGGGGGGTTTATTTGGGTTTTTTTTTTTTTTTTTTTTTTTTTTTTTTGAGAATGTGAGCGCGCAGCGCGCATTCCGCAGTCCGCAGTCCGCAACAAGTGACGTCGAGTAGTCGTAGCGTACGCAGCAGCTTACTTAATCCTTTGAGGTCGCGCTCGAGTTCAGAATTTGGGGGTTCGGGGTTGCTAATACCCGTCCCGATCCCCGCGCGCCCTGTGCTCCGTGCTCCAGGTCGTGTGCGCCGTTCCGAACCGGGGTTCAAGTGCCCGCGGCCCTGGATATGTATGAGTACATACCAGGCAACCACAACCTCTACATCCCTCACGAATACAACTTCCGACACCTTCCCGTCTTCGAATTGGATCGACCATCAAGATCCTCGGTCGAAAAAGAACAGTAAGTAATTTGTTTTTCTTCTCCTTTTGTTCGTAATCCTTAGCTTAGTACGTAGTTATTCTGAAGACGATGCCTGTTTCTGTACTTCAACAGCTACCGTCATGATATTCCAGGCTAATTTCCTTCCTCCCGCCAAACACCGTCGCCGAGGCCGGTCCTTTGACGCATTCTTAGGTCCCACCTGTCGTGTCTGGCTGCTTGCTCAAGGTACCACCACTGGCCGGTTGAAGAACTACGCTAGTCGTGGATCCTTGTCGAGTCTAGATGCCTGTTGCCGGCCCTTGGTTCTCAAAAAAACCTCAGGTCCCTCTTTTCCGTTTGCGCTGATCGGTTTTAGGTCGGTTTTAGTCTGTCCTCAAGCTGGTGGTAGGTATTCCAACCGCCGCGGTCGTGGTAGAATGAAAGTACAGGCTGTCTCTACCCTCAATATAAAGGTGAGCTGCTTCTCAATTTCTTTCCCCCTCTCCCAACCAGCCTTTATTCGCCGATAGCAGAATTCCCTTAGTAGTTGTTGTTTTAGTGTTACAGATTGGTGATAACAGTTAGTTGCGGTTGTTGCTGCGTTACCGCATTTTGATGAGTAGTGTACTAATTCGACTTTGCTTTGATCTGTTGGGTGCTTGATTGTGTAGCTTAGAGATATGCGTCCATCTCCTCCCTCAACCGATCCGAGTCCTGGAACGTACCACTCTTACCCCATGTCCACCCCTCCCACTACCAATACTGGTGTGGGAATGAATGCTACTGAGCCAAGAGCTCCTCGTTTTCAGCCTCCCCCTTACAATCTTAACCCTCCTCGCTTCCCTCACCCCCCAGTTTTTTACCCGCATGGTCCTGTCTTTCCCCCTCATGGTCGAGGAGGTGGGTACCATGGTCGAGGGTTTGTCGGTAACCGAGTTCACGGAAATGCTGGTGTTCGTGGCGGTGGCCGGGGTCGTGGTTGGATCCCACCTGCCCAGCTCAGGATTTGAGGTCAGGCTAACCGGTTCTATCATCCCAATGGTCCCGCCGCAGGGGTGCCGTTTGGTCACGGTCACGCGCCGGTAAGCTCGCATACTTGTCGTTCCTCTATCCTTGTTGAGAGAGTTACTAATATCGTTTTGTTGTTTTATCTAAGTTTTTTAATTCTAATCGTGCCCAGGTCGACATCGATCAATTCTTGAATCAACATCCGATTCCGCCTGCGGTTCAACGCCGCCCAACTCTGATTCCGGTCCCGTCCTCGCCTAGCGTTCCTGCCGCTAACGCTGCTAGAGCTCCTAGCAACCTCAGCTCTATCCGATCCGGCGACAGCTTTCACACCGCCGAGGATTTCCTAGCGCCTCAAGTCCGAGTCGCTTCTCCTACCCCCGCGGGTATGTATGATCCCGACGATTATAACCTCCTGGCTTGTCACCAGATCGAATCCTTGCTAGACCGCCGTGCAGCGCCCGAGCGCTTCGATAGATATGAGTTTACACCTCAACATTTCGACAACTTTCATCAGTCAGCTACTTCGGCCTTGGTCCATCATCGGACCCGTCATCCTGCCGCCAACGCCAACGAACGTCAAGATTGGGTTCGTTTGTTTCAGTTCATCACTCGCCGATACCGTACCATGACTCGCCGAGTCGTGTAAGATGTAAGTGGTGATTCTTGCTTGTTATTTTATTGATTGGTTGCTGACTTCTTGTTTTTGAACTTCCCCTGGTGTCTAGGCTGCTTTGTTGAAACCGGTTCTGCTGCCTGAACATCATGGACAGCCAGTCTATAGGGGTAAAAAAGTACTAAAACCAAAAAAATCGATACATAATCTTTTTCTTAAAAAAAATATAAAACTTTCTTAAGCTAAAAAAAATCAGTATAACTAAAAATCCAAAATTTTTTTTGTCTACTTAATTTTGTTTTAGCCTTACTTATCTTAGCTTCTACTGCCTGCTGCTATCAATGAAAGCCCAAACCCCTCCCCCAACTTAAAAAAGGTTGTCCCCAACCTAAACTAAGTGAGAGAAGTAAGTGAGGTTGCCAAAGGAAGTGCAGTGAGAGCATAAGTGAGTAAAAGAACTTGAGGGATCTTCAAGCCAGTGAAGACCTAACTGAGAAGAAAGAATGAAGAGAAAAAAAAGAGATATGAAAGAAGATGAGTGTTTTGGAAAAAGATGAAGGAATTCCTCCCCCAACTTGAATAATATTAATCCTCATATCAACAAGTACAGGTGAGTTTCCTCCCCCAACTTAAAGATTTGAAGCCCGCATTGCTAATTATTTTTGGTTTTTCTGGTTGTTTTTAGGTATTTTCTAAATGTTTTTCTGGTGTTTTATAGGTTTTCTGAGTTGTTGAAGTTAGAACAGGAAACATATAGGTACCAAAAAAAAGAAATCTATAAAAAAGGAAGATTGAAAAAATTTTTCATAATATTTTGTGCTTTTCATGTATGTTTTTGTGTTTTTAATGGGTTTTTCATCAATTTTTCTTAGGGTTTTTAGTATTTTCTGTGAGAAAAAGTGAATTTGAAAAGAAAATATTGAATAAAGCTTCAAGTACTAATATTTTTGACTTCTTTTGTTAATTTGAGAGGTCTTGAACAGTTTAGTCTCGTGCCCAGGAGGTAGCTGAATTTAATTTGAACTATTTCCATCCAAGCCGTTGGAATCTTCCTCATGATCAGAGCTGTTTTGACTCTCATCATCATTACTTCCAATTTCTGGGTCTTCTTTGTCGTCCTTAATCTCGTCCAGCCGTCGTCCTCGAGGATAAAATCTTTTGACATGTGAAGCCGCATATGTCCGGTGAAGTTCAATTCCATCCAGTTCTTCCAGTAAGTAAGATCCTTTGGGTAATTGTTCCTTGACTTTGAAAGGTCCATTCCATTTATTAGAAAATAACTTTCCCCATTGGTCTTCCAAACTTTTGTTGTAGACTAAAACTAGATCTCCGGCGTTCAAAGGTCTTCGTAATCGTGCCGCCATTTTTCGATCCCAGTATCTGAAAGAGGCTTCTCTGGCTTTGATCATTTTATCCTGAGCTTCTTCCAGAATTTCCTCTCTTCTTTCCAGTTGCATTTTCCGGGCTTCCAAGAGTTCTGCTGTAGTTTTGATTTCTGACCAGTCTATCCCTAAATATGTATCCATTTCTAGGTCCACTGGCAACACTGGTAAGTGTCCAAAAACCAGCTCATAAGGAGTGAAGCCAGTAGTTCTCTTTGTTGAAATTCTGTCGGAAAATAATACTAATGGAAGATATTCCCGCCATTTGCCTCCAGATTCTCCACACATTTTGACTAGAGTATCCTTGATTGGCCGGTGTCCGCGTTCTATCATTCCATTAGCTTCTGGATAATATGGTGTTGTAAACTTGAGTTTTGCGCCAGTCTTTTCAACAGCTCCAATGAAATCTTCTTTGAATTCGGCGCCATTGTCCACTGTGACTGTCTTGATTGCTCCATATCTGTATACCCAGGATTCCAGAAGAAATTTGGCCACATTACTAGCTGCGAGTTTGACTAGAGGAGCGGCTTCTACCCATCCGGATAAATCGTCCTGTGCTACAATGAGATATTTGTATTGTCCAGCTTTGATATGGCATGCGTCCAGAGCCACTCGTCCAAAAAGGTAACTGTCTCCGGTTGCGTTTCGAATCTCCCTTGGTACCAAAGGATCCCGCTTCTGACATTCTTCGCAGCTTTGAATCCATTTCTTGACCTTCTTTTTCAGGCTCGGCCACCAAAATCTGGTTACCAAACGCTGATAGGTTTCTTCAATGCCTCAATGTCCCAGTTCCTCGTGAACTTTCCGGAGCAATCTTTCCTGATAAACATCCCTGGTTACCACAATCTGCGGAGGGGCGATGATAATCGCACTCCCTCCTCCTCCCCGCACGCCCACGCCCCCGCCCCTCCAAAAGGGGCGTGCGATCAAACCCGCCCCTCCAGGAAGGGCGGGTTTGATCGCACGCCCCTCGGAAGTGTGTTTTTTCAATAAAACACGCTTCCGAGGGGCGTGCAGAAGAACCCGCCCCTCCAAGAGGGGCGGGTGGGTTTGCAAGCCAGCCAAGAACCAACATAGGTCGGTTCTGGCCTGGCGGGTATGTTAGGCGAGGGGCGGGTCAAAGCGCACGCCCCTCGATAGCTCGGAACCTTACCAATATCGAAATCGGTAAGGTTCTTGTCTCTGAACCTTACCAATATCGAATTGGTAAGGTTCTTGGACAAGGCTTAGTGAGCAAAACATCCAGGGATGTTTTGCTCACGTAAGCGCCCTGTCTCTCTCCCCCTTGGGAGGAGAGAGAACAAGGAGGAGAGAGACAGGCCGCTTACGTGAGCAAATCACCCGGGGATGTTTTGCTCACGTAAGCGGCCTGCCCGGTTATTTCCTCCCCCTCCGTTTTTTTTTCTTTCCCCCCAAATCCAGCCACGAACCACCTCGACCGACCGAAAACAACCCGCTTGACCGATAAAATAACATCCACCCCTTCAAAACCACCTCAACCGACGCCGATCGAAGCACGCAGCTTCAACCGAAGGCCCCCGAAACGCCCAGGGGTGCCACTCGCACCCGATCCGCATACCAGGCCCCTAAGGAACCCAGCAGGTAAGGAATAACCTCAACAAAAAGGAAAAAAAAAAGAAAAAAAAAGAAAAAAAAAAAAGGAAAAAAAAAGGAAAAAAAGGGAGAAAAAAAATTAAAAAAAAGGAAAAAAAAGGAAAAAAAGGAAAAAAAAGGAAAAAAAAGGTAAATAAAAGGTAAAACAAAGGGAACAAAGGCGGTAAAAAAGGGAAAAAAAGTGAGGTGAGAAAATGGGAAAGAAAAAGGGGAAAAAAAGGAAAAAAAAAGGTAAAAAAAAGGTAAAAAAAGGCAAAAAGGTAATAAAGGCGGTAAAAAAGGGAAAAAAGTGAGGTGAGAAAATGGGAAAGAATAGGTAAAAAAAAAGGCAAAAAGGTAATGAAGGCGGTAAAAAAGGGAAAAAAGTGAGGTGAGAAAATGGGAAAGAATAGGTAAAAAAAGGGGGAAACAGTGAGAGAGGAAAGGGGAATGAAAGTTGAGAGAGAAAAAGGCAGAAAAGGGGGTAAAAAGGTGAAAAAAGGAAATATAGGGGAAACCAGGGGGGGGAAAAGGTAAAAGAAGAGGAAAAAGTAAAAACATGAAAAACGAGTAAAAAGTGGAATAAAGGGGGACAAAGGGAAACTGAGGTTAAGAAAGTTAAACAAGGGAATAATGGGGAAAAAAAGGTGTAAATAAGGTTATGTATCAAAGTGAGATGGGGGAAACAAGGGAACAGAGGTACTAAAAATGTGACAAATAACAAAAACAGGAAAAGAAAAAGAATGATTAAATATATGTTTGAGCCCAAGGACCCAATGGTGGCCAGAAATGTCCAAATCATTACATATCCCCTGTGCCAATTCTTTGGATTTCTTCCCTCAGCCTGAGGAATTTCGCTTCAAGCCTCCACTCGCCCCCTTCATTTACTTTAAAAGACAATATACTGACAACACCATCCTTGCTTCCTCCTCATCACAGCCTATGTCTTACCAACAATATCACCTGGGGTCCCACCCAAACCACAG